AGAAATGGGTTTGAGACATTGCACCCATGTGAGAATTCAAACCAGGCTTTTCACATGACGAACGAATATTTTCACGCTTTGCTACCATACTGCCCAACACTGCCTGTGGATCAGGGCCTAGCTTCTTTGGTGTTTTCCCATCTCTGATGGTTGCCTACACTCTCCCTTACATTGCCAGGGGAACAGGACCTCGCTCCTTTGGTGTTTTCCCATCTCTGATGGTTGCCTTCTCTCCCTTACATTGCCAGAGTACCAGGAGCTAGCTCCCTTTGTGTTTTCCCATCTCTGATGGTTGCCTACACTCCCTTACATTGCCAGAGGAACAGGACCTCGCTCCTTTGGTGGTTTCCCATCTCTGATGGTTGCCTACACTCTCCCTTACATTGCCAGAGGAACAGGAGCTAGCTCCCTTTGTGTTTTCCCATCTCTGATGGTTGCCTACACTCTCCCTTACATTGCCAGAGGAACAGGAGCTAGCTCCTTTGGTGTTTTCCCATCTCTGATGGTTGCCTACACTCTCCCTTATATTGCCAGAGGAACAGGAGCTAGCTCCCTTTGTGTTTTCCCATCTCTGATGGTTGCCTACACTCTCCCTTACATTGCCAGAGGAACAGGACCTCGCTCCCTTTCTGTTTTCCCATCTCTGATGGTTGCCTTCTCTCCCTTACATTGCCAGAGGAACAGGAGCTAGCTCCTTTGGTGTTTTCCCATCTCTGATGGTTGCCTTCTCTCCCTTACATTGCCAGAGGAACAGGAGCTAGCTCCTTTGGTGGTTTCCCATCTCTGATGGTTGCCTACACTCCCTTACCTTGCCAGAGGAACAGGACCTCGCTCCCTTTGTGTTTTCCCATCTCTGATGGTTGCCTTCTCTCTTACATTGCCAGAGGAACAGGAGCTAGCTCCCTTTGTGTTTTCCCATCTCTGATGGTTGCCTACACTCCCTTACATTGCCAGAGGAACAGGACCTAGCTCCCTTTGTGTTTTCCCATCTCTGATGGTTGCCTACACTCTCCCTTACATTGCCAGAGGAACAGGACCTCGCTCCTTTGGTGTTTTCCCATCTCTGATGGTTGCCTACACTCCCTTACATTGCCAGAGGAACAGGACCTAGCTCCCTTTGTGTTTTCCCATCTCTGATGGTTGCCTTCTCTCCCTTACATTGCCAGAGGAACAGGACCTCGCTCCTTTGGTGTTTTCCCATCTCTGATGGTTGCCTTCTCTCCCTTACATTGCCAGAGGAACAGGAGCTAGCTCCTTTGGTGTTTTCCCATCTCTGATGGTTGCCTTCTCTCCCTTACATTGCCAAAGGAACAGGACCTAGCTCCCTTTCTGTTTTCCCATCTCTGATGGTTGCCTACACTCTCCCTTACATTGCCAGAGGAACAGGACCTCGCTCCCTTTCTGTTTTCCCATCTCTGATGGCTGCCTACTCTCCCTTACATTGCCAGAGGAACCATCTCTGATGGTTGCCTACAGTATAGTAACAACCATACTACCCCGGTCCACACAAAAGTCACACAACGTCTCTGTGATTGATGTATGTAGTCATCCACCTCAGGCAGTTTCTGCCAATATATCACAACACATCGCCTTAGATGTGATAATAATCATTAATATCCCACCTAAATCAATATCAAATACAACAATAAAAAAACATCAATTAAATATAATTAATATTTCACATAATGTAATAACAATTTACAACATAAAGAAGATGTCTGTCAATTATATTCCAGTTAATTCAATATCAAATACAATGCTAGGAAAGTCAATTATAATTTCATTAATATATCACTTAGTTCATTATCCCACAAAACACTTGTAGCTTTTCAGTATCAATTTAAATATAATTTATATCCCTCCACATACAATATTACATACAAGAAAGTGTCAATAAAACACTCGTGATCCTGGGTCCCTTTCGTAACAAGATTGTTATGCTATGGCTGCCGTAAGTCTATGTTAAAAAATGGGAGCTACAATAGTCGCGGAGACACAATCGATTTGCAAATCAGGGCCCTGCTTGAAGCAGTTATTAATTTTTCTTCAATTTTTTTACAAAAAATGTAACTTGATCAAGGCAGAGTCGAGCCATTTAGGTTGGGCTTGCTCTTGAAACACTCATGTAACAGTGATACAGAGGTGTAGTATTTTTCAATCTGTCACTCTAATTTGGGTTCCAACTCAGTCTTGTAATAACAGTATCTCCAAACAGGTGAATCTTTGTGCCATGAAGAAAACAGTGAAATTTCTGAACTGACATCTCTCATGGTAAGGGTGCAAGATATTCAGGGACATAAAATATTCGGAAATAATACCTTTCCAAAAACTCTCAAAGCCCTATAATCTAATCTATGAAACTGCACAGAAATGCTGACACATAGAAAGTCATAATTATTTGTAAGTTTGACGTCATCAAAACTACATGAATGAAGCTGTTGAATTTTCTAACCAACATTACAACACAGAGTCTATAATTGTCTTTGGTTATTTATCCTATGCTGAAGATTAATCTAAACTTTGATAGTTTTTACTCTGAAATCAATTTTCACCACAAGACGTCTTATCTCATTATTGTAGGCAGACAGTCTCGTCGAAAATATTCCAAGATTTGAAAAAACTAATAAAGAACAGAAACTCATTCGATACAGATTCAGCAACGTTTATGTTTCAGGGGTTTCAAATCCAAAGAGAGCTCTTGCACCAAGATATATGATTTATTTGGTGGACATGAACCTGTGCAATGCTGCCATGTCACGTCAACCCTGTCACTCAAACACTGTGACTCACGTAACAAACATGGAGGACACAATCTGTCGTGTCAAAACATTTCACAACTATTGATGCTGTGCCCAAACTTATTGCGTAGTACATATATGCTGTTTAGAAAATCAAAATTGTCAATAAAACTATGATCCTTTCACACTGAAGTCCTTTAGATTGCAATTGATACTTTCCATTGTAACATTTTTGATTAAAAGGCCTGAACAGCTGATGAACACACATACAGACAGTTGGCAGATTTAATTCCTTTCCATACCCAATTAGCCAAGAACAATGCTCCCCTTATCAAGCATTATTAGTCTATTCTCAACCTGATGACCATAAAATTGCCATAACAGATAAGGTCTGAACAAAGCCTTTCTCAAAAGTATTGCCATGCTACTGTAGCTCGCCTTGATATGTAGTCAACCACAAAAGTCACTTTACAAAACGTGCTGTTAGCGCTGGTATTCCAATGATTTTAGCATACACACTATGGGAAAACTAACATGCAAATGTAATTATTCCAGTTTCTTTTCTTTGCATGCAGCAATATTCCAGCTGTATGACATCGGTTTGTAAATAATCAAGTCTGAACCAGACAATCATGTGATTGACATCATAAGCATCGATCCACGCAATTGGAAAATGATGACATGCATCAACCAAGTCAGCGAGCCTGACCACCCAATCCCGTTATTCGCCTCTTACGACACGCCTAGTTGCCTTGTATGGCCAGCATGGGTTACTGAAGACCTATTCTAGCCTAGATCTTCATAGGTCCTAATGAAAATGTCCATCGTAAGAAACATACAAGCAAAAGTTCAGTTCCCTCAGTCTGGTAATTTCAGAGCCAATGAGAGGAGAAGATGCTTACAAAGCCAAATATGAATTCTGAGAGAAATAAGGACATTTGTTTGTTTGTTGTTTAACGCCGCGCTCAGCAATATTCCAGCTATATGACGGTAATCTGTAAATAATCAAGTTTGGACCAGACACTCAAGTGACTGACATGTGCATCGATCTATGCAATTGGGATACGATGACATGCATCAACCAAGTCAGCGAGCCTGACCACCCGATCTCGTTATTCGCCTCTTGCGACAAGCACAGTCGCCTTTTATGGCAAGCATGGGTTGCTGAATGGTCAAAACAAGGTATAACTTCCATAAATTATACAAAACATAACATTTGTTTTGAATCCCACAAACAAAACAAATACCAAATTTGATTACATTGTGAACAAAACTGGCTTAGTCATGGCTATAAATAGCTTTATCATTACAGTTGCCTTTCAGTCAGGTGAGGTGGAAATAAAACCCATTCTGCTTGTGTGTATGGTTCATTCTCATGGGAACAATACCATCTCATTCTGTAAGAAGTCACAGAGGGCAGACAGGACAACAAGTTATGTGTCCCCATCCTCACTTCCAGTTGTAGGATCTCAAGTATACTACTCAAATCAAGTTACAGAACAACCAATTTTTTTGTATGACTATAGCTATTGTGAGAAATGGGTGTATGGGTAACAACTAAGAGTAATCTCCATACTATCAGTGACTAGTTTCAAGCTAGGTTGAGTCATCAGTTCCCAAATCCCCAGCCTATGACAATACTTAATCTGTCGCGGCCATGATAGATTGAACATAGTCTTACAGCCAGAATAGGTTGCTGGGGACCAATTCTACCCTGGGAACCCTGTGGGTCAAACCCATATTCAATATCACAGACCTTGATCCATGCCATCTGTGTTGCAAGTTGCAGCATTGTCATGGTTCCTTAACATCTTTTGAGTAGTATAGATAAGGACAGGACAGGGAACAACTAATACACCAGTGCTGTCAGGCCAGTTGCCAGGTTTTAGCATATGTTTGGACACAAAACGGTTTCAATAATACCAGTAACTGGTTCAAGCTATTTCAAACTGTGACATCCCTAATTTGTTTACAATAAATATATCATGAAGTGAAGTGAGGTTTCCCATCTGGCGCATGCACAGAACATGTTGGAGGAAAACTATTATCCACACCACTAACTAGGATCAGCTGACGATGAAGAGGACTTCTGTTGAAAATCTAAAACATTTTTATAGTGTGATGACAGCTTAACCATTCAAGATTATGGCAAAGATGTAACAGAGGCATGGTATTTGCATGAATTATATATCTTGGATTTTTGGCAGAACAAATCAAGTGGTCTGTCCAAAACTTAAACTATACTAACTAAAATGAACTCACCTTCATATGTGGCCTATTAAGTAAACTGACGAGCTCCTCCGATAACTGTTCTTTTGATTGCTGCACAGAATTGATCACATTGTTAGCACTATTTTGGCCATTGCTTGCCACTGGGCGTGGCTGTGGGGATTGAGAAGTCACTTCCACAATCTTGTTGTGTATGTTAACAGCATGTTGAAACTTGCCGTTGAGAAACAAGTTCTTAAGAAAGGTAATATCTCCTTGGTCTTCATTAGAATTGAGCTGACTTCGGACATACTGCAGTGACTGGAACATATCCCCCATGTCTGGAACACAACAAAAACATGTGAGTGAGTGAATAAGTGAGTAGTTAGTGAGTGAGTGAGGTTTTATGTAAGTCCAAATGTGGACTGTAAGGTAACTGCAACTGGACCAGGTAAACCAGTGTTCTTTGTTGTTTAATGCCTCACTCAGCAATGTTCCAGCTTCACGATGGCGGCCTGTATATAATCAAGCCTGGACGAGACAATCCAGTGATTGACATAATGAACAATGATCTACACCATTGGGATATGAAGACATGCAATCAACAAAGTAACCAAACCTGACAAGCCGATCCATTTGATCTCCTTCTACGACCACCCACATTAAATGAGTATTGTTTTAGCGATATTCCAGCAAAATCATGCTGAGGACACCAGAAATGGGCTTCACTAATTGTACAGACATTGTACCCATGTAGGGAATCGAGCCCGGGTCTTCGGCGTGACGAGTGAACGCTTTAACCACTAGGCTTTTGCTGCTTTGTAACCTTGCTATCTTCAGGTTCTTTCAGTGGACAGGAACTAGTCAAACTAATTACATCCTTTGCTATTTTTCAATAGAGTGCTAAAAGATTCTAATTCAAATCAAGTTCAAATTTGGTTATCCCTTGTTAAAGTAATTTCAACTAAAGAAACTAAACAAATTGTACAAAGATCTACGAAAGCCTCCATTACTTACCAACTCGCTTTGCATGGAACCTGTCCCGCGACGTGAGAGGATCACTCGAGTCCAGCGTTCCATCTTGGACCTCCTCATCCTCCCCATCAATGAACGCTGTGTTGACCACACCACTTGCCGGCACAGTCTTCTTGTCCTCAAGCGCTTGCAGCTTCTTGGAGCCGCGTAACGATGTTCGGAGAAACTCTTCCTCCTGGAAGTGCCTTGTCTCTTCCTCCCGACGTTTCCGGAGTTCTTCCTGATGTTTCCGTAATCTCTCCAACTGTTCCATTGTTGGCTGCTGCTGTTGGTTGCCCATTGCAACTGCAGCATCATTCAGAACTGCTTCTGTGTGAATGTTCTCACTTGAGTTATCAAGAGCATGTTTCATGGGGGTGGTTGGTGGAACTCGGGGCAAGCTGTTCTGGTTGGGCGGCGGGTAGCGTGGAGCAGTTTTAATTGTCCCCACAAAACTGTCAGGGCAATCAATCGCCATTTCTCTATGAGGTCCTGAATCCTCAAATTCAAATGAGTTCTGCATACTAGGATCAAAATCCTCACTGTCATATGCATATATGTTGTCCTTTGATAGGTTGAGCGAGTTCTGACTGAGAGTGTTGCCATTACGAGAGAGTCTGTCCGACCCATTCATCTCCTCAATGAGAGGGGTTTCAGAGGTGCTGGCCACCTTCTGTTTGCGGGATTCCTTCTTAGACTTCTTGCCCTTCTTCGGGCTCTCTTTCTCCAGAACCCCGTTCATCTCAATCAGTTCAGAACTACCATTCACATCGCCATTCTTGGCATGCCCATTGGCCTTCTTCTTCTTCGGGGTCTTTTCGGTCGGCATTGACGAAACGTATACGGTATTATCCTCCACAGAAATATCAGACTGCACTGAGCCTGCCTCGCTGTTGTCGGTGCTGTTGAGGAGTTTAGTCATGTCCCGCGGGGTGACCCTCTGTAGAGCTGGTAGGCTCTCAAGGTGATGCTTTGTGCCATCTTCAACCGCTATGATGTAAGCATCATGAACCTTCTCTATGTCAGAAACTGAAACACAAATAAGTAGGTTTAGTTTGGTAAATAATCATGTCAAACAGATGAAACAAAGAAAATGGTGAAACATTTACCACAGATGTCAATCAGATGCAATACAAGTGACCATACAAAAACCTTAGTGCAGACTCTGTAGTTCTTGAGAACTCATGAGTGAAAACATTTTTCGGCTTCCATTACCAATATTCTATCCATTTAAAGAATGGTCTTCACTCATGTGAAAATGCGTTGATTTATACATTCTCATGAAATATTACCTATCATATCACAGATCAACTGTAACTAGAAATCATTCATTTTTCATCCAACAGGTCAGAAAATTCCCATCCATATAATATAAAACGTCCGTCATCGCGGGAGAAAAACTAGTCTTGATTATCCTCCCCCTCCCTCAAACAGATTCCATTGTGCATAAAAGGCAAAAAAGCAGTGAAAATTATACGAATGGATCACTGAAAATTAGTGATGACACCAGTTACTCCCAGTTAATGGATCATAAAATATCAATTTCACATGAAGAAAAATCACAGGTTTCAGTCTATTCTGAAGTCCTCCTAAACCATTCAGTCTTCTGACAGCCTAAGGACATCGTCCGTCAGTATAAAGAGACCCGTCTTTCACTGCAGGGACTCTGATTCTCAACCGAAAATAAACCACTCCATGCAAGTGTATGTGATTCCGTATCTCATGGGGATTTAGGTATTGTCAATATTCGAAATAAAACCTCTCTTAACTAAATCAATATCCAGCAATTTCTGTCAAATCGGTGCTAACAACAGATTGCTTGAAGCTAAAGATGGGGAGATTGAGCATGGAGGGGCCAATACCAACTTGGATTCTGTCTGCAGAATGTCTTATTAGTAACACAGACAAAGTGATCTGGAAAACTCGGAAATGATTAAAGAAGCAATTACAGGAAAAACTCTGAGCAATACAAAAGTAATACAACACATGAATCTTAATTAACCATTGTGTAATGATGCAAAACAACTAATTCCTTTTCAAATATATTTTACACAAAGTTTTAATCATAAACTTGCTGGAAAGAGCTACGTCTTCAGAAACCAATAACTGTTATGGAAATTTCAAAGCACATATCAACTTGAAATACTATGAAGCATGTTGGGTATTGGCCATGTTTTACATCATGATGCTGGTCCATGTTTGACGCACAAAGTGTTACACGACAAGACATTGCTGGCAATCAAAAACCAACAATAAAAGCTACAATGATAAATTCACAAAATGTCATATTGAAACAATGCAAACAATCTACCTTAATAACAATCAGCAAATTCCTGTGTGAGTTCAAAGACACTGACGTATTATCCCATACAATATTCACCATCAAACAAAACTACGGAAAGCGTCATAATGATGCGAACACTCTGCCGATGTATTCTCTCCAGCAACGGCAGGGAGCATTCGGATGATTTGACAGGGAAAGTTCGGCTAACAAGCATAAATGACGTGTCTCCTCCTATTGAGGTAATTGTGTTGCCCGAGTTATCACATCAACAGGTTAAATCAGTTTACTTGCCACATACAGCACCACTGGCCTATCATGGTCAATGGACTAATTGCAGGGTCCATTTCAGGCGTGTCTTCCTATATTGATAGAGGTGTGAGCATGTTATGAACAAAGATGGGTCTACAGTCCAACCGTCTCCCAGTGGACACGTCAAGGACAGTGCTACAGAAGGTGCTCCTGACTTGTGACATTGGTTGGTGTATGGGGGAAAGAGGGAACAAAGGATGTCTGGGATTACGATGACAGCATGAAAGGGTATCTTCAGAATAGTTCTATTGCCAATTAGACAAAGATAACCCCGGACATCTTACATGATGTAACCTCAACATGTCATAAAGTTCAAGGAATATTTCCATCTAATTAGAACGAAATTAGCTTTGATGTCTTACATATTGCAAGCTCAATATTTCACAAAGTTCCCATGGGGACATGACTTTGAGATAATAGTGAGAATGTATTGTATAAGTCCTAGTTGTTAGAATCAATATACCACCCCTGTGTATACGACCATACATAGCACACTCATGTTATGCATTTCCAAGGTTGGAAACAATGTGACGATAAGATCATAAGTGAAAACAAGGGAGAGAGCAGGTAATAAGATAATTGCAAATTTGGAGCCATTTCGTTTATGGGAACACCATGAGTTTGTTTAAAAAATATTACACTGTGATTGAAAGAGCTGCAGCCTGCCATGTATTGTTAAGCAGTCTTTGTATTCTTGGTAACCATTGAAGTCTTCTGTCCTATTTTCTAAGGAATATATTTTGAGAATAACCAACGAGCAATCTCAGAATTACGAATTATCTATCCTGAGTAAAGCAATGGTATTAATCCTGAACCTTTGGCTAGGGACTTACAGCGTTCATTCACGAGGGACAGATAATCTGTAAATCTCAGTTCCGAGGTTATTCTATATTACTTATTGACATTTTCAGAGAATATGAAGAAAAAACAAATAAAATGTCAACCCTCCAGAGAAACTTCACTAATGGCAGCCTATCATTCAGATGACTTATGGAATCAATTTTTGACATAGACTTACATTTAGTCCCTGAAATGAAGTTATATTATTTAAAAATTTATATCTACAAAATAAGAAAATTAATCCAAATGGAGCCCAGAACTTAATTCTGGAGCTGGGGCAATTAAGACTTGCCAAACCATTCTAGACTTGAATTGGATTAATGTTTTAATTTATTCTCTAGAGACTGGGAGAAATACTAGACCAGACATTCAAAACGAGAAATGGCAGAAAAACATCATTATCATGAACTCCTGACTCATCCAGATCTTCTCACCGGTAACTGGCACACCTGATACAGGTGAAAAGATGTCCTTCCAAGGTGTACATCATCAGTCAGCTTCACGTCATGTCAACATTGACAGCAAACAAACACAAGACGGCACATGATGTTGATAAAGTGTTACAAAAGAACACCTGGCAATAACTGTAAAAGTTGTAGGAAAATCTATGTAACTAACTTTCAGAAAACATAAAATAATTTCACAGGTAACATCTCTGGATAACAAATTACCGATCAAACATATTTGTAGATAATATTTTATCTTATGATGATCATGAGAAAACTTGTCAACACTAACTCTTGTTAATTCTAAAAAAATCATCACATCAATACCGGTACTCAAAGAGAAGACACTCAAATGTCCTCTCAACCATGAGAAACTTTATAACAAAATTCATCACAATGTCAGACGCTGATCAATGTTGCAATATACATCTTGAGAAGACATTGTAATGTCATCCTCGACCATGAGAAACTTTATAACATAATTCATCACAATTTCAGACGATGGTCAATGTTGCAATATACATCTTGAGAAGACATTGTAATGTCATCCTCGACCATGAGAAACTTTATAACATAATTCATCACAATGTCAGACGATGGTCAATGTTGCAATGTACATCTTGAGCATGTTGAGAAGACATTGTAATGCCATTCTCGGTCATGAGAAACTTTCACATAAATCATCCCTATGTCAGATGAAGGTTTAAGCTGTAATGGACATCTTGGGAAGATATCCCCGAACAGGAGAAACCCTACAACCATCATCGCCATTATCACATACCTTGTCTGTTGCATAAATCTGTTATCAAACATTAACCAGGCTTATGTTCCAAGCAAGAACACCCTTCACTCGTATCCCAAGCAAGCCACTGACTACACATCTGTTCAAGCGGAGTCAGTGTCTGTAACGGTGACTCCTCCACCTGCCTGGGGCTTCAACTACTACCCGGCAGGTAGCTGGGGTCAGTGTTGAGCGAGTGTCCTGACTCTGTGCCTCCAGCCTCACAGCCCAAGGCCAACACATACTGCCTATAGGAATGTACGATCACTGAATGTCTCACCAATAGGCATGTGAGATATTCCTATTTGTTTACATCTCATTAATCATTATTTGGAAATATTTCGTCATTGATTTCATTTTACACATCATTCGGAGTTTGTAGCTCTGTGCCTCTTTGCAGAGATATCAAGAACAATCCAGCAAACACATTTGAGAGTGAGTTGAGATTAACACTACCTATAATATTATGTCAGTGAATTCATGCCGTGTCAGCATTAGTGAGTTGTGGAGTAAGATCACAGGTGTCAGCTTAATGTGGAGATAAGCCCAAAGTAACACTGATCCTACGACTTTCCTGAAACACTAGTACGGTAAGGTGAGGTGAAATGAGGTTTAACGTCGCATCCAAGATTATTGCACTAATATAGAGACGTGCATGTACGTGTGTGTGTTTGTGTGGCTGCTTGTACTAGCCTGGACTGATGCCGATTTATAGTGCTAGCTCACTGAGATACCATGCCGCAGTTTAACATGAATACCCCACTCAGATACAGTATACTGACTCCGAGCCGACTGGTCCTTGTTTTAGCCCCTTAATGCCGAGCGCCAGACAGGGTAACAACAAGTACCATCTTTTAACGTCTTTTGGTATGACTCGTCCGGGGATCGAACCCCGGACGTTCCGCTCTCCGGGCGGACGCTCTACCACTAGACCACGGAGGCGGTACACTAGCATGGTAAGGTGCTGATAGATTATTGCAATTAGAGTAAATCTACCACTTTCATGAAACACCAGCACGGTACGGTGCTGATAGACTCAGTAATGTTATTAGAGTAAATCTGGGATTCAAACTAATTGATCCTAGCACAGCTGGACCATGCCCCCGCAATAGAACATGAAGTAGTAGAATAAATCATTTCTAGTGTATTACTCAAAATAATATTCTCAGATGCTTGTGATTATTTGATGGAACAAATAAAAGCAGTCAAAATGAAACCATCAATAACGACTTGCATCTTTGAAACCATCATCTCATTAACTTCAGTCTAATAAAATAAAGGATTGATAAAAAAATACATGAACAAAGATCTGTAAATGCTGTTCTGAGAAATTGCAGGTGGTCATCCACTGAGCTTCAATAACTCTGTT